CTGATGAAAATTACAGGCCTCTCTCATCTTTTTAAGTGGGAGAACTTGCACAATTGGTGGCTGACTAAATACTTTTTTGCCCCACTGTATATTATTAGTAGTAAAAAGGCAAACATTATAATACTTTCTCGTTTGCCGTGAGCATTCAACAAATACACATTTACATTTAAACAAATATTTGAATTTATGAAAATGTAATTTCGCAAACCTTGCAAACTTAGTCGAATCCAGTTGTGAGATCTAGTGAAGTGTGCATGTGACCTGCATGATCGCGTGCTCTCTGCGTGACTTTCGGTCCGTGCAAATTGAATGCTTTAAACCTTAAATTTGAATTATGCTGTGCTTTATGTATTTGCCTACTGTCATATTCATGTCATTTTCACTGTGTGCTGTATGTAAATGAAGTGTGCATGTGACCTGCATGACTTTCGATCCATGCAAATTGAGTGCTTTAAGCATTAAATTTGTGATTTCAAATTATGCTGCGCTTTATGCATTTGGCCACTGTCATATTCATGTCATTTTCACTGTGCTGTATGCAAAATGAGTGTTACGTTAACTTTATTTGAGAAAAATTTAATGCGCACAAACTTTCCAGAATACTGAGTGCCCTGTTGGTTACGGTGTTTACTTCCTTTTTAATTATATTTTTTATTAAATATTTATTTATTTGTAAAAAATACTTTTCATCTAAAGTAAGTGTTTATTTAACACTTATTTTTTAATCAATTTTCAAATGATTTAAAATTTCTTAAATTAAAATAAATAAAATTATATCGGCCACCATGCTTTACAAGATATCGGCATCGACTGTCAAAAAACCAATATCGGTCGACCACTAGTTTCAAGGTGGCCGTGGGTCCTTAAAGTCTTAATGTCTTAAATTTAGATTCAGTGGGTCTTAAATATTTTTGGTCACATTACCACAAATATTTCTCCAGTCTGACGGACATAGTGAGTGTTTAAAATCTGTTGGAATACAGGTCGAACTAGCTAGCTGACCAGCCTCCAGGCTACTTTAAATGGGTTAATGCAAGTTAAACAGTGATTGTTAATGGATAGTGTATTTCTGGTATTAATGTCGCGCTGTGAGAGACTTTCATGGAGAAATCAAATCAAATGAGCATAACGGCACAAAGAAACTCACAGAACAAACATACTGAGGTAAAAATTCAAAATGTTTATTTATAACACGATACAGTTAAATAACATGGCATGACAAGGGGGCTATTTTGCTGAATATTTTCACGATTGGAAATATTACGTTGATTTTAGTTCAACAAACAAGTAGTTAAGTGTAGTTACTTACATTTAGACACTATATTGACCGTTTTATTTTTTTTCTATTTCACCAATGAAAGTAGTTCCAAACAAAGATCTGAACTGAAGTATTGCACATTCTCCAAGCAACACTCCGCGGTTTTGTTACTGAATGATTCAGTGTTTTGAAGGAATCTGTTGAATGAATAAGTGATTTACCTCCACCTACTGGCGGTTTAGTTAATTTAAAAGTATGCATTTTTCCCCAATATTTCTTATTTGTATATTCAATTTTATTTAAAACATTAATCTTATAACATTATTTACTGCAGTTGTGATTTTTCAGTGCAAATTGTTTAATTTGATTTGGTAATGTATATTGAATTTTTTGATCAATTGTAAGAATTTGACATGAAAGATGATGCAAATAAATGGGCCTTTATAAAGGTAAATATTAAAAATGTGCCGATATAAGCATGTAAAAGCTGATAGAACACTGAAAATATTGCTTCAGAATAAATAATTTACACCATCAAAAATCTGTGATGCGGCGCTTTTGTGGGGATATTATCTGCTGATTTGAAAAGTTCACTGTATATTGTAATAAACGGCACTTTTGACAGCGATATTTTGTTTTCTTTTTACATTAAACACATTAAGGGTGCTTTCACACTAGCACTTTTGGTGCGCACTCGTGAACCGTACCAGAGTCCGCTTAAAAAGGGGTGGTCTGGGGTACGGTTCAAGTGAACTCTGGTATGGTTCGCTGCTGATGTGAACGCAATCGTACCAACTCACGGAAGTGAACCGATATTAATGACGTATTTGATTAAAAATGTGTTTCACTTTCCTGTCGAGCATGACTGACGCGCTGCAAGCAGAGAGCTGTATATCTCATTTCTGTTCACCTTCAGAGTTCTTTAGAGCATTTGCAGTAAGGCAGACGTAAGTGCCGTTAAGTACTGAAGCTTTGGAAACAAAACCAATGGTTCAAAAGCATAAATAAAAAAATCGAAGAGAGCAATGCTACGCATTTTGCCGTCTTCTCCTGCGCCTTCGTTACTAAGCAATGGGGTAAACAGCTGCTGGCTTGATGACGTAAACGAACCGCGGTTCGGACCCAAATAATATAATGTGAACACAGTCCAGCGGGGGAGGGGGGAGCAATCGAACTCTGGTTCAGACCAAGCAATCGAACCAAGTGTGAAAGCACCCTAAATGTGCCCCTGGACCACAAAACCAGTCTTAAGTCGCTTGGGTATATTTTTAGCAACAGCCAAAAAATCATTGTATGGGTCAATAATTTTATCTGATGCAGACGTAAGTGCCGTTAAGTACTGAAGCTTTGGAAAAAAACCAATGGTTCAAAAGCATAAATAAAAAATCGAAGAGAGCAATGCTATGCATTTTGCCGTCTTCTCCTGCGCCTTCGTTACTAAGCAATGGGGTAAACAGCTGCTGGCTTGATGACGTAAACGAACCGCGGTTCGGACCCAAATAATATAATGTGAACACAGTCCAGCGGGGGAGGGGGGAGCAATCGAACTCTGGTTCAGACCAAGCAATCGAACCAAGTGTGAAAGCACCCTAAATGTGCCCCTGGACCACAAAACCAGTCTTAAGTCGCTTGGGTATATTTTTAGCAACAGCCAAAAAATCATTGTATGGGTCAATTTTATCTGATTTTTCTTTTATGCCAAAAATCATTAGGATATTAAGTAAAGATCATGTTTCATGAACATATTTTGTAAATTTCCTACCGTAAATCAACTTAATTTTTGATTCGTAATATGCACTGCTAAGAACTTCATTTGGAGAACTTTAAAGACGATTTTCTCAGTATTTAGATTTTTTTTTGCACCCTCAGATTTTCAAATAGTTGTATCTCTGCCAAATATGGTCCTATCCTAACAAACCATACATCAATGGAAAGCTTATTTATTCACCTCTCAATGTAAAAAAAAATATACCCTTAGGACTGGTTTTGTGGTCCAGGGTCACAAATATTACTTATGTATGTAATATATGTGTTTCCGTCACAGGTTTGGTCTTAAATTTCACGTAAGGTGGTATTAAAAAGGTCTTGAGTCTTAAATTTAACTTGTTCATATCTGTAAGACACACTGTGTTGACTTATTTACGATAGACACCATAAATCAAAGTTGGTATTAAACCTGGGGATGTAATGGCACAACCTGAGCCAGTTGAAAATCAATACAAATATGTGACATTCAAGTCGGTTGAGATGTTAAACAAATTGTGATACAGGTGGGAGTTTATATGAATGTAACTCTGAGGGGAACTGACTGTCTTCAGAAAAGTTGTGATGGTATTTTCTTTTCATCTTGCCTTTTTATAATATATATTTAAAGAAAAATATTGCATCATAAGTGCAGTGGTAACCAAGCACATGCTATATTGCGGCATTTGCTGTCATAGTGAATTTGCATATTCATTCAGCTCGTCTGCCGTTTTAATTTCATTTAGAATTTCTTGAATCTCATTTTGTTAAAATCGTGTGAGGACCGAATCGTATCTTGAGTTGAGTGAGTTGTTACATCCCTAATTAAACTAGAACTTGCTTTCTCTTTTCTCTGTTTAGATCTCTTCACAAGAGGAATTGATATACAAGCTGTGAATGTGGTGATCAACTTTGATTTCCCCAAACTTGGGGAGACGTACCTCCATCGTATTGGCAGATCTGGTGAGTAGGGTTTTGTTTGATTCCTGCTCTGAGATCAAGTAATGTTGCATTGGTAATATCACTGTTTGGCAATCGGGCGTTTGAAAGGGTAGCAGTGTTAAATGACATTGGCCTTCCCCCCACACAGGCCGATTTGGACACTTGGGTCTCGCCATTAACTTGATCACTTACGATGACCGCTTCAACCTGAAAGGTATTGAAGAACAGCTGGGTACCGAAATCAAGCCCATTCCCAGCAGTATTGATAAGAGTCTATATGTGGCCGAGTATCACAGTGAAAGTGGAGAGGAGGTTAAACTGTGAGCAGGAGAGGTGAGTTCAATGTTCAGTCACTCTAGGGATTACAATGTACATATGTTTGATTTTAACATGGTTTTTCTTTTCTACCCGATCCAGATCACCAGTCCTTTGTCCCCTATCCCCACCTTTTTTTCCCTTCCCTACCGTGTCTAGGGAATAGGGGATATTTTTTAGTTTGTTTAAACTATATATCTTCTGTCTGTCTTCCTTTTCCCACACTTTTTTTTTTTTCTTGTTTGGTGCCTATTTTGGTTATGCCCTTTTTTTCCCCCCCCAGTGGGAAATAAGTTTAGCAGAGTATAAGCCTTTCCAGGTAGTGCACCACCCTTGTTTTGTTATAACAAAAAAAATTGGGCTTTTTTTAAAATCCAAGAATACTTTGTTCAGCCGGTTTGAGTGTTAGCTTCTAAGCGTTTCAGCAGGTGGTGCACTTGTTCACTCTAAATTATTAACTCTGATCCGTTCCCCAGTGTTGACAAAAGTTCCTGACGGGTTGCTCAAATAAAAGGCCTCGTTTAAGGGTTGTGAAAAAATGAGGCTTATTTGCTTTCCAGCCTTTTGCTTGTAACACTGACTTATGAAGCACTCAGCAGGGTCCCCTAGCCTGGGTGACTCTAAACATAGAGGTAATTTAATATTTTCATCATGTAATAGAGCTACTCGCTGCAGTGCAGCTCAAATTGGCAACGTGCAAAAATTGAATTTATAAGCGAGATGTGTAGCTGTTACATGGGGCTGTGTTTCACTGGCACTTGGACTTGACTTTAAACAGACTGGGGTGGGAGGATTGAAAGGCTTGGATGTTCACATTGGTGATGGTTTTTGTTTGAAAATAAAGCTCACTGAAGTTCCACGTGTTTAAGGTGTCTTTTTACTGAGTTTCTCATGACGGAGAACCCACTTTGTGTTGATGTATGAATTTTAATGTGAA